CTTCTCTTTAAAAAAAAAAAGTCTAAATTTTTCTTTATCTAAAAGAAATTTACTGCGAGAGAATTGATTTCTTTTCTTCTTTTTCTCCGAAGAAGCTTTTCAAATATAATACAATTTCTAGCCCATGCCATATCGATTTCGCAAAAACAATATGCACTCTGTTATTTTGTATATTCTGCTACTTTTTTAAATGAAAATCGATCTCTAAGATTCTATCTTTTGATCACAAATATAAAGATCTACCTGCTGTTATCGTGCTTTCAATTCGAAGCGTTTGGGCGTTGCGTTACGTCTTTCGTTTTTGCGAAAATAATATCCAAAGGATCCGTGACTGGAAACGAGGAAAATGGAATTCTTCGTAGGTTTCCCTGAATACATATGTAGAGTTATAGGTGCTATATGAGAGTAATGGTATTTGCCAATGCACGCGACCTCCACTGTAAATACATACATATATATATATACACACATACGTGTGTGTACACACATATATGTATATGTATCACATATATATGCATGTTCTCCAAGAGACGCACAGACGTATAACGATATTATATATTTATACGAGAGCACATCTCTCGTGTGTACTATAGCGTAACAGTATTTTGGAGGCTTCGTGCCTCCTTTAGACAGAAATACACGCAAACGCGACATACTTAGCTACTCAAGATGATAAAACCGCGAGATATCCTTTATATTCATCATATTTCATCGAAATGTACATCCCATTTCTCGAAATATACATCACAAATGCGTTTAAATATAGCAATTCGCTAGAAATCTCTACACAAGTCCAATGCGTATCGAATTATCACCAATTTTATAACGTCCTTAAAATTTTAATAAAAATATTATAATTTTAATTTGTACGGAAATCATAAAATATAAAGTTATAAGCAAATTTGCAATTGATTTTTCCTTTTATAAAGATATATATTTACTAAATATTATATATATGTAATTTATTTTTTGCATTATAAAAACTTACAAAAGTGTTTGAAATTTTAGTTAAAGTTAAAATCATCTATTTTTGCAAGCACGTACGTGTACACGAATTACATCTTAAAGAATATAGAATATAGAGATACTGATTGACGAGATATACATGTGAATTATATGTATGTTGATAATATTATGTGTAGACTCTCTGAAGCGAAAATTTTAGAAGTTATTCGCGAAACTTGAGATTTTTCGATTCGTCATCTGATATATTTCTTTTATGTATATCACGTATCTTTCTTTCCGCAACCATAACAGAGAGAAATAAATTTTGCGCGATCGATGCAATGCCCTTAGGAATTAAAGCTGTAAACAATTACAGCTCGTAAGCGTGACTGCGTTGCAGAAACGCACACACATTTAACTTTATTATTTTCATTTTTTTTAGATTTAAAACGGTATTAATAACTGTATTATTATTTAACAGAATTAAGTAGTAAATTTACAATATGTTTTTTAAAGCTTATATACATGGCTGTTATTCGATGGCTGAAAATAGCTGTTATTCGATTAATTTTTAATTGTACACTTTTTATATAGCTGTTGACATTTAATGATTGTACAGTTGTTTTCATGTATGTATATTTTTTGCCATCTCTTTGCTACATTTTATTAAATTTCTTTTGTATGCCAGATGACAGTTAAGCTATAAAATTTTTTAATCTCACAAATGAATTTGTCTCCATATAAAATGAATTCAGGCTTACACAAGTGTGCTATTCCGAAGAGACCGCTTGAGACAGGTTGCACATTATAAAATAAACAGCTATCAGAAAACTTTTTTTAATTCGTTTGAACAACTTTTATTTTAGAAAATGTTTATTTTAGAAAATGTTAATACATATTTTAGGCCCAGTAAAATCGCGAAATTAATATATAAATAGAAAAATATAAATAGAATAGAGTTATTTTTTGAAAAATATAACAGGATACTTTTTTCGATAATAATAAATTTAAAATAATATGCAATAATAAGAAATTATATATATATAGCATTGATTAATAAGTAATAATGAAAAAAATATATTTATTACCGATAATCATCTAAGTTTACTACATGTCAATTGCAAACACTATAAAATATCACTTGTTTTGCGATGTGAATAATGCGATCATTTTTTAGATGAAATGAGAAAAATAGACTTCTTGAAGAAAAAGTAATAGCATAAACAGCGTCATGAATGTCTCGAGTAAAAAAGAGATTATCGCAAGCATGTCATGCAATCTTGTCGTGCGCGAGGAAAAAGGAAGCAGCGTGAGAAAGCGAGGCGAGCAAAACAAGAAGCTACAAAATTGTTTGCCGGAGTATGGAAGGACAGACAGCCTAGCACGAGAGAGAAAACGGAACGCTTAGCAGGCGAGGATCTGATTTACTTGCTGCAGGTGGATGTAGATTTCCGCCGTCGTTGCTGCTCGTAGAAACCCGACGCCTCTGAAACACGGCGTTGCAGGAAGCTTTCGAAATTTAGCGGTGTAACCCGGTGACTGGGTTGCCGAAATTTCACATTGCACGATGGAAATGTTCGTTTATGAATAGAAACAAGACGAGCATATTGCACTTTTTATTCATTCCACAAAAAAAGTCAAACAATTACATCCTTTTGATATAATATATTGTATAGAAAAAATTATTTTTCTTGAAAAAATTATTTTTCTCTTAAAATTAATTTGGAGTACATTGATGATAAACTTTATACTTCATATAACGTTAAACATAATAATCAATTTATGAATCAATTAAAATCATCTTTCAATACATAAATATGACAAATGTCGATTTATGATTGATTTTTAAAAACCGATCGAAATAAAAGGAATTTTCTTTTTAAAATAAATTTAAAACACTTATTTTTATTTTATAATTTTTCATCTTTATTCGTGGGAGCAAAACACGAAGCTACGTAATTTCACCATTTTATAAATTTTACTTGGGCCAACAGCAAAATGTAGAAGTTGGTATACATACTCTTCTTCGTAAAAAGGGCGGTAAATGGAGTGAATGAATTTTGATCTTATCGGTGCGCGGTTATTCTCGATAAGAATAGTGCAGCTTCTATCTAGCTGAATCTAGAAATTTCAAGTCTAGTAACATCGAAATACATAAAACCAGATGTTTATGAGCCTCAGGCAATGGCGCAAAGAAGTAATTGGCGCACAAGAACTCTTCTTTAAAAAGATCGAGTGCATTTAAAAAAAGTAAATTTGCGAAAGGAGTTGAAATACAATTATAAAATATTTATTCTTCTCTTTTTTTCTTTTAAATTACTTGCGAGTCTTTATAATTTTTTAATATTTTCTAGAATAATATTTATCTCCTTGATCGATACGCTAATAATATATTAGTTATAATATTAATAGACTGATAATTTTATTCAAATAACATATTAGCGCGAAAATATATTGGCTATATTTAATTCTATTTAAAGAACAGTATTTTGAACTTACTACTTGGTATCGAAATATACTGTTTTGAGGATCTTTTAAGAGTACCTTAGACCAAAATACAGGATAAAAGCACTCTGGGCAAAAACTTAGCTTGTCATCTTGAAATAGAATGAAAGGAAAATACATTTTGTAAGACATTGACTTAAAAATTTGCGAGCAAAACTCTTATAATGTCAAACACAACGAGAACTTTTTTTAGTAAAATAAGAGAACTTAGCCAAAACACAATGAATAGTACAGTACATGAAGTTGTCACGCTTTAGAAGAACTCCGAAGATAGAAGTCATGTTATATACATATATGTATATCAACGTCAAAGCACACTTTAAACTCTTATTGAGATGCCTCTGTTTGAGTGCTGCAGATATAGTATTGTAGTATAATAGTATTGTATATACCAAGTTATTACATTCGAGATGCAATACTCACTCAACGAAAGGAGCATAAAATACGATATAGTGTCTCTTTTCTATGTGTGTAAGATATTATTCCATTATAACGCGAACTATTTTAAGTACTCTTACGTTTCAGTTATGTTAAAGATGTCTGTCTGAATTTCATTTTACTGTATTAATTTAATTTATATAAAATGTATTATTCAGATTAAGTAAATAATGAATAACTTTTAGATTTTTAGACAATGATATTTAGTATATAATCAGTATTTTTGATATAAAAATCATTTTGTTCAAAAAACAGAATATATATAATTAATACATTTTTATTAGATAGAATTAAACATCAAAATATTTAATAATTTTTTGAGTGATCTAAAAAGAATGTTATTTATATTTAATATTTTTTGTGACTTTGTATCTTCAGAGTAAAAAAAGCAATACTTAATTTAATAAAAATATGAACATCCTGAGAAAAGAAGATAAATAATGACGCTTATTAAATTAAATTAAAGTGAATTCTTTTGCGAATTAAGTTATTTGTCTAATCGACAGTACGTATTAAATCTTGTTAGTTGCTGAATGTTGAAGTTAAAAAAGTGAATGACGGAAAATTAAAAAGGCGTATTGGAGAATTGTTCTCATCGCGTACACTTTCACAAATGAAATTCGAATACGCCATTTAGTAGCATACCTTTTCGCGCGCTCCACTCATGTATCGTTACTTTATTTGATCACGTTAAATGTGAGTTACTCTATTTTCGGAGATAATACATCTCTCTCTTCCTTTTTCCAGTATAGATATTTAAATGCTGTGATTGAAATCGGCACGGATTATATTACTTCGCGCTCGCCCAAAAAAGTTATGAATGTAAAAAAAATTACATGAAAAATTATCTTTAATTAATAGTACGAACGTCAGTATATATTGCATTTATTTGTTAGAATATAGGTATTTTATAAAATCTTTAGTAAATTATTTCATATCATTCTGCCTCAAAACACTTAAATTGTAGAATAATCATAGATATCTTTTATAAAAGTTTTTATCTAAGGATTTATCTAAGGATCTTTGAATATCTTGAAAAGGCAATCTATCTAACTAATAAAATATTTTCTTTTGAAAACAATTTGTTATTCGATACTATATTATTATTTTAGTTACTGGAGCGTCTACTGGAGAGGCTGAGGATCCGCGGTGGAGCACATATAGCGCCCGAAAAACGAGTCGATCCTCATCGCCGCGATCTTGGCCATCTTCGAGTCTGGAACATGCCGCGAGGGAAAGCAGACCCTCAAATGGCAAGCTCCCGGAAACTACACCTTGGAGCGTAGACAGATCGAACCCTGGAACTCGATCGGATCCGAGTTTTCTGGGAACGGTGGTCGAAAGGTCCGAGGAAGACGAAGACGGGAGGAGGATACAGCAGTCACCTGGGAGCAATGACATCGAGGACGCGAAGAGTGCACCCTATAACCCGTCCATCTCGTCCATGAGCGACAAAATAAGCCAGACGGATCCGTCCAATCGGATTTCCATCGAGTCGTCGTCCCTGCAGTCATCGATGGTTGGCTATCACTTCGCGAAGATTTCGTGGGTCCCTGGAAGCTCCCATAACGTAATTCGTACCCAATCTCATAGCTAGTAATGATTATTCGAAAATTTGGTCGCGATTAAGGTTGCAAATATCCCGAATAATGTGGGATCAATAATGTTCTTATGTGTTCCTTATTTCACAATTTGAATTTTTGGATTAAAGTAAAATTACAAGTGCCAATAATGCGCCAATAATCGCATCAATTATTCGAATTTTTTCACTGATAATTAAGATAGAAGGTAGAAAGAACCGATAAAGATATTCGTGCAAACTTTTAATATTTTATGAATCTTTGCAAGCATCAAATAAATCTATTTGAACTTATAATATATCATGGGTACATTAAATAGTAAGATATCGGTGTCAGATTATATAACATGAATTCCTTCACGCGATATCTCTCATCGGAACGACATAATAGTCGTAATTATTCAGCGCCGCTTCCAATATCGTAATTCGAGCGATAACTATAATTTAGCATTGTCGAAATACCAATTGCCCAAAGCGGAATTGGGCTTCCGTTTAATTAACGGTTTGATATCTCGGTATTAAGAGAGCTTATAGTCTATTGATCGTGTAAATTTTCAATCTTGCGCAACTCAAATTAATACGACACGCACACGATAATAAAGAGCTTTCGAAATTACTAATAAAGGAATAAAGATCTTTCGCTATATCACAAATTTTTTATTTTTTGAAATGCTATATCGTATAAATTGTGAAAAAGCCGTATATTACTTTAAACATAATACGATGTTATAAATTTAAATGTGACTTTACAATGTGTGCAGATAGTGGCGACGTCTGAGACACGACTATTAACCGAGACGGTTTCGCGCGAGAACTTGAAAAGTACACCAATGACGACCTCCATCGCGAAAGACATCACGGTGTCACGACGTCAGATGAGACACATTCAGGACAGTTGCGAAAAGTTTCTAGTCGGGGACATGACGAAGAGGGAATTTTATAGTCCGAATTACCCGGATCTGTATCCAAACCAGACCGACTGCGTTCGAGTTTTGGAAGGTAAGTGATTTTTTGTCATAATAATTAAATTTGCAAAATAAAAAAGTAAAAATTGAAGCGGAAAAGAACTTGACAAATAGAATTTTATCTAAATGTAAGGATAACGGGATAAATATTTTCAACATTACGGATAATTTCGTCAATAATTGCAATAAATAATATTTGTGAATATTTTATTTGATCGCGTAATAAATATTTATGGCAAAGGAAAATGAAATATGACTTGCAATTATTCGCGAGTTTTGTGTTTGGTTACGGAGATGCTATAATATTTGAATTAATCGTCGAAGATAAATAATTTAGCTGGCAATCGCGGTTTGCGTTAAACCACCGTGCTCACAACGCTGATTGGAATATCGTGAGTGCAATCACTTTTGCGGCGATGGTTCGATGATCAATAATCGATTCTCTTCACGTACATCGTATCTCTCCGAGAAATCGATTTTCGAGCTTCGAGGGAACTTTTACAAGATTGCCCGCAGTAAGAACACGCTAGCCAGATTTCACTTTACTGCCGCGCACCATTCGCCGATAATGCGAAGAAAAAAGGCGAGCGTGTTGGAAAGGCGAACTCTTTCTAAACGAGAGAAACCTTTGATCCGCGATTTTCTCGTATCTCGAGGCAAATGTTTTGAACAAACATCGTTTCATTTCGAGCGAAATCCTGGTTAAGTAAAGAGCGTTAGACGCGACTTATTTTTCGTGCATGGAACATATAATAGAGCGATCAGAAGTTATTACAAATATGAACTCTAAAATATGAATATTATATACTATATTATACAATCCGTGTATCTCTCTTACAGAATTTTGCCAAATGTGGTATATGCTATCTTATAAATTTTTCATTTATTTTATGGTAGTATAATATAAACTCATATAATATTAAATCACATATAAATAATCCATTTTGTCTAATAACTTTATAATAATGGATTAAAATTTGCAGATATATTTTCATATTAATTTGAAATAAATGATAAACATGGAACAATTTAATTTCTTAATAAGAAATTTTGTAATATAGCTAACTATATATATAATAAAATTTTGTAATATAGCTAACTATATATATAATAATTACAAGTAATTGATATATAAAACAAAAGATTTCTAAAGACAATACATAATGTATAGCTTTACCTTGTATTGAGAAAAGACAAACAATTTTATCGACAAACGGATCGTTCTGCAATTATCATAAATCAGATTGAAAGATACAATATAACTCCAATTGTAAAACTAAACAAAGAAAATTCCATAAAACAACTCATCGAAAAATAACGATACTTATCGAACAAATATTTTTCTATTTTTCAAAATAGAAGATATCAGATGCGATTTCAAATATGATATTTCTGCACAATATGTTACAATAATTTTTTTTATTTAAGTTAAGTAATAATAATAAAAGCATAAATATAACAAAATAAAAAAATTTTATTTGAAATAATTTATTTAGTTGATGATGGATTATGATGTATTTTGCAAAAATGCTGATGTTGTTGAGAAATAATAACGAATCGAATGATAATGATTTTAGTAAAAATACATATTCTATTATACATTATTTTACATTCTATATTGCAGAACTTAAAGAAAGTTTATAGTCTATCTCGTTTCATATGTATAAGTTGAATGTAACTTGGTACCTCGAATATAACTGAACTTTCTGCAAGAATAAAAGGGAGGGTTGGAGTGATTGATACACACCGGTGGTTCGGTTCGTTGGCTAAGGATATCGCGAGAGGATAATAAATTTTCTCAGACTGACCTGCAAAAGGAATCACAGAAAACAAAGTCCTGTAAAATGGAAAAAACATAGAACAAATTTCTTTATTTTCATACATCTATTTTTTTCTTCAATTGGAGTAATCTTTTTCATTGACGTAACTCGATAAAATTTAATTATTATCTGTTGCTGACTTTTAAAAAATTTAAATATATTATGAAGTATATTATGAAATTTCTTTCAATTACTAATAATCGATACAGCGATAACTTTATAAATTAATAATTTAATTTTTATTTTATTTAGCAACATTTAATAAAATAATCGATGACACAATAAATATACAAAAAATTTTAATTACAATAAATTAAAAATAACTCGCTGTATTTTTTTTATTATGCGTCGTTAGTTTTCGCCAAGAAAAATAATGCAGCAAACGATTTCTCATTTTATGCTCATATACTCTCGAACGTACCGACGCGAGACGATCCTAGATAGAAAGTCGAGAAAAGGAAAAATTGGCAAACGTTCGGTGAAATCATAAATCTTCGCGAATTCAACCGCTCTCCTTGTCCGTGGCTGCACGAGAGCAATATCTCGATAACGAATCGATGTATCTACGTACGACCGGAGAAGCTGCTCGCAGCCGCTCGACGAAAAATGTCTCTCCATTTCGAGCTACATACGCGTGCAAAATTCAGGGGATTCAGAAGCCATTCTATTTCTTTTGTCAATTATATACCTATTTATAGAAATATAATTGTATAAAATATTATTTATACAATATAATTCGTTGTTAAATTAAAAGAGTCAACGTATAATAGTTAATCATTTGTAGAATTCATAAATAATTTTTTTGCTAATATATAAAAATTTATCGATCCCTCTTTTAATACGGGATCTCGAAATGCGCCGGATTGAGCAATGAACAACAGCTGGCTCTTGTTTGAATTTGAGTCAGGGTCGACAGAGTTTATCGAGTCCTCGTGTATGCACAAAAATAGCTAGCGGTGATTATGGGTTCTCAACCAAATCTTGCAAAAGCCGAAGTAATATGCGCACGTATAAGTTCCGCCATACAAAACCATAAATGATATTCGAGCGAGAACAAATATAATGGGAGGAGAAGGGCAATTAAATTCTGAAATACTGATAACAATTCAATCAACTAACACGTATATCATCTGTTATGTGTTGTCTTCATGTACAATAAATCTGTTTTCGTGAATTTCGGTTAAATTATTCCCTTTAAATTCAACTTCAATATAAAAAATTATAAATCATAAATGTTGTTCAAGAATTTGCTAAAATATTCATGAATTTAATTACGTTTTCCGTTAAAGTAGAATTGCAATTTTGAGATTATTTAATTATAAATATAATAAAATAATAAAATTTATCTAAATGGTATAATAAAATTTATCTAAATGACATAATTTAAATAATTAATATTTACATATTATATGTTTATATTCAGATATCTATATATTCAGATGTATATTGAAATGAGAAGTCAAGATTAATTTTTTGTCGTCCCTCTGAATTTGGTAACACGCGAAAATGATAATTCAAAGGGATTTATTTGTCATTCCATAACGATTATGATAGTGCTGAAGAGATTATAGTGCATTAGATATTCTCTATGTAAATTATGTCATATAATTATCTCAGTGTCGACCGAGAGAGTAAGAAAGTTTCAAACTAGTGACTGTATTTTCTGACGTTTAGTGTCGACAATTCTAATTATCGGTAGTTAAGCATCAACTCTAATATATTGACTATAACAAGAAATATTATAATTATTGTTAATACAGAACTTAATATAGAAGTTAGTTTAATCTGCAAGATCTTTTTAATTATAAACTATTCATTTTACATTGTTTCTGAGATTTGCATGAACATCTACATTTTTAGTATTGTATTGAAAAAATAAATATTGATATTCTCAAGTAATTATTAATACAGTGATTTATGAATTAAAAATTATGAATGATTGTTTTACTTGCAAATAATGCATGTGAGTAAATAAAACATGAATATATTTACGTATCAAAAACATTTCATGCGTTAAATTATGTGATGCGTAATATAAATTTGTCAGATCGTTGATTAAGTTTTTTAGTTTGTTTGTACTTAAGCAATTCTAATAGTCGTGTTTCATTTGCAACAAAACATATTGTTTTTAATACAATATAATATGATATAGTATATATATCAATAATAATAATATAAAATAAAATAACCATTTTCTCAAATCAGAATTCACAATTCACAATTTCACAATCTGACAAATTTTAATTCGTTTAAAATAGCGCAACATCTCGACTTTCGTCTTTGGAATTTCCAAAATATGCGAGGTCCGTGCATTGTCTGGCAGTTCGCAGTTGTCACTTGGTAGGCTATCAGAAACTTCTGCAGAATCTTGAGAAGGATCTTCGCTGCAACCTGTATATTGCACGTTGCAGCATTTCCTCCTCTCATGATTTATTAAATCGGTATTATTTACAGACCTCCCAATGCAATATATATATTTCAAAATTATTTTATATTTCAAATAATTTAAACACATAATAATATTTCTATTTAAATAATAGAATTTTAAAAAGAATACATTTAGCTAATTTTTAAATGTATATAATAATTTTTGCCGAAAAGTTTACATTAATTATTTTAATTTTTTAATCAAATAAATAAATATCAGTAAATACAAGTTTTTTTATACTATAATTATATTGCAATTTCTTCTATACTTTCTATTTATCATTTATGTATATTATAAAGCTGAATTTCATGCGACTTGTGAAATAGGACTGCTCAATTACTATCATTCGTCGTTTGCCAGATAACATTGCTAGGAGAAACACGTACAGCGCACGTGCATTACTATTATTTTGTTACCATCCTAACTACAATAGATCCCAGCTATTGCTAGTATTGACTGACTTCTTGACTCTAGAATCGAAATGAGATACCTTCAATAACGAGCGCGGGATGTGCCGGAATTCTAATTTCATCAGACATCTAACAATCTAAGAAACCACGATAAATGTGACCAAAATTCAGATGAAAGTCACATAAGATAAAATGTAAAAAAGTACATATCTTAAATTTTTTTCAATTATTTTACTATTATTTTCAATAATTTACTAGATTTTTTACTATTTTATTTTTAATGAGCGTGTGTTATAAAACATTAAAATTAAAATTAAACTTATTTAAGGTTAATTGTTGTATAAAAAAGCTTTGTTTCAATTTTTTGGAGAAATTA